CTCTAATCCCAAAATCCTCTCGTCTTATCGACTCTAATACATTTTTAATGTTATCTTTGCTTGAGAAATTTAGAAAGATATTTAAAGAAAAAAAAAATGTGTGAAATTATATAAAATATAAATATATTTATTTATATACTTACTTTTTTTTTTATTTCCTTTTTCAAGTCTTCTTTACTCCCTCAACAATGAAAAGATGTATTGTGTAATTAAAAATACATTAAATAAAGAGACAAATTTTTAAAAAGATTAAGTGTTGTTTGGTAACACTTACGTTTTCAGTTTTCTGTTTATATTTACAAAAATTTTAAAAACTCAAATAAAAACTTGTTTGGTTAAAATTTTTGATTTATAAATCAGTGGTCTCAGTTTTAAATTTGGCCAAAAAATGAAAAATACAAAAAATGTATTTTCGTTTTAAGTTTTGAGTTTTTTTTTTTTTTTTTTCCACCCAACACTAGCCACCTCCTGCCACCATTTTCCAACTACCGATCTTCTGCTACCACCCCCCACTCCCTACCACGCACCTGCCACCACACTCACCACCCATCACCCACCTGCCACCACCACCCACCCACTCACCACCAGACCACCCCCTTCGCCAACCACCCACCACCATCCGCCGACCACCACCTACTGCCATCCCACATCGTCACAGACCCACTACCACCGCCCACTACTTGCTACCACCACTCACCACCACACCTGCTACACCATCTACCACCTGCCACACCAACCACCCATCCACCACCAGCCACATGCACCCACTCGCCACCACTACCCACCACCCACCACCACCACCACCACCACCAACACCACTCGCCACCACACCTACCACCACCACCCACCACCACTCGCTGCCACCTACCACCGCGCCACTGTCACCCACCACCACCACCACCACCACCCGCCACCTACTTGCCACCACTCGCCATCCCGCCCACCCACCTACCGCTACACCCAACCGCAGTAACTACCACCACCCACCCACGTCGTTACCAGCCTACCACCCGTCACCGTTCACCGTACGTCACCCACCACCACCCACCACCCTACCTCCCACCAAGCCACCACTACCCACCAGCGCGCTACCACCCACACCACCCACCACCCGTCATCCGCCACCGCCGCACCATTGCCGCCATCTACCCAACCTCACCCGCCATCAGCACTACCACTACCCCTCCGCTAACCGACCCAGCCACCCGCCACCGTCACCAGACTCATGCAGGTATTCCCGCCATCAACCCCAACCCACCACCATACCACCACTGACTGCCGCCACTCCCACCTCCTATTCCATCGCACGCCCCCCGCCACCCACTCGCTACCTACCCACCACCCGCCACCGTTCACCTGCACTCAGCCTACGCCACCGCCACCCGCCCACCACCCGCATCCGCCACCCACCTGCCACCCACACACCCGCCCTACCAGACCCATCTAAGCGCCTACCACCGGCCACTACTGCACCAACCAACCCGCAAACCCACCACCATGCTCACACCCCACTCGCTACCACCTACCACTTGACACCGTCACCCACCACCCACTACCATTACCTTCTTTGATGGTTAGTAATAGGTCATGTTTAATTTAGCATACCTTATGCTATGCATGCGTGCATCATTCATCAGTATTGCATGCACCGGGCTCGGCGCATCATGGCGGTGGTGGATGGTGGTGACAGGTGGGTGGTGAGTGGTGGTGGCGGGTAGGTGGTAGGTGTGGATGGTAGTGGCGGGTGGTAGGTGGTGAGTGGTGGTGGTAGTGGTGGTGGCGAGGGGTGGGTGGTGGTGGCGAGTGGGTGGCAAGTGGGTGGTGGTGGCGGGTGATGGTGGCAAGTGGGTGATGGTGGCAAGTGGGTGGTGAGTAGTGGTGGCAGGTGGTGGGTAGTGGTGGCGGAAGACGGTGGTGCAAAATGGTGGCGGATGGTGGCTAGTGTTGGGAGGTAAAAAAAAAAAAAAAAACTGAAAACTCAAAACGGAAACACCTTTTTTGTGTTTTCATTTTTTGGCCAAATTTATAAACTG